GCGCTGCTCCAGCGTTTGATAGGAGCATGTCTAAGAAAATTGATGTTAAACATTGTGTTTAACTGTTTGGGAATTTTAAGTGCCAGCTGTGTCGAATGTAGACTGAGGCAAATGCGAACTTTTCACGAGAATAAGTTGGGAAAATCAAATAATAATCAATGAAGGACGTCAGAAAGAGTTCATAAACTTTGATCAGAATGAAGCAAACAATTTTGTGTGTGTAAAAATTATATAAATAGCTATAAATATTAAATAGGCTATGATTATTAAGAGACCTTCTTCTGTCTGCAAAAAACTTGAATAATCGACATACGCTATGTTCAAATTTTCAAAAAAGTTCGTAAATAAGTTAAATTATGTGAGAAAGTGAAAGGCACAAGTCTGGACTTGTAAGAAACTTATAATCAAATAATATTATTAGAACTCTTGGCGAAAAAATGATTTAAATTAGAAAACTTTGCTTGTATAAGAATAATTAAATCACTTAATTATTAGGTCGAGTTTTATGTATAATAATATTTATTATTACCTATTATTAGTTAAACTGTTATGCATAGTAATATTTATTCCATCCTCAGATAATTTAAATTATAAATTTCTATAAATTTTGAATATATATAATTTGTGCCATATTCACGGCGATTCGAACCCTAAGCCTGCCGAAGCTTAGCCCACATAAGTCAGGCCCAGTTAATCAGTTGATTTCTATTAAACTGGCCACACGATGAATCTTCGCATTGCAACTGCCGCAGTCGCAGTTTATAAATCATAACAACAAGAACCAGAAAAACTGGCGCGATCTATGCAGAACTTACGCACATCTGTGCTATGTCTATAGAACAGATGAGTTTCTTGAACTTCGGCGAGATCTTGAGCTTCAGTCATGCGGACGCATTCAGCTTAACTGGCCATTGCGGCAACTATATGTGACATCATATATAAGGATAATTTACTCGAAATGTTTATACACAGAGCATAATCTGTCGCGTAAGGCGAACAAATTGATGGAACATGATTCTCAGCTGAGATGGCTCGCGGACTGGCTTCTCGTCAGCTTTTCAGCTTTTCAGCTTCTTTTTTTTTACGTGGAATTGAGACAAACAAATAAATTTACTTTGATTGAATAATGGTCGCATAATTGGCAACTTGAATGGAATTGAGTAGCAGGCAAAACATATGCCACAAGGCCCAATTGAAATTGCAACAACACAATGTTGCAACCAGATAAGACATGAACATATATAAGTATATCTCGTCTATGTGTGGTACTTCTATCTAAATGCGCGCATTAACTAACTGAATTGGATAATCTCATTCTGATTCTGATTCTTATGCTCAGCTACTGGACGTACACAAAACAATTGCAAGCATACGCGGCGGACAGGCAAGACTTTCAGATACCCTCAATTGAAGGCAATAAAAATCCAGATGTTGTATGCGACTATTATAGATGTTTTTCTTTATATTAACAACTTTTGCAAATTTGAGTTATTTTGTACATGGTTTAGGCATATAAGAGCCTACATACCAAATTTCCCGCCTCTAGCTCGTCTAGTCTCTGAGTTCGTTGAGGCTAGATGAACTCAGATCTTAAGTCTTTATACTTTATGAAGTCAAGAAGAGTTCCACATTCTTAAGATACCCTTTTTGCAGAGCTACTCTAATTGCAGAGTATGGAAAGCAAGAAGGAAAGCAAGCTGCGTAGTGTCTGTTATTCTTTTATTTCTTCAACTTGCCCCGGAACATATATGGGTAAAGCGTTCTCTAGTAACTCTGGTATTCATAGACCGATCTTTATGAAAATTTCAGGAAACAAATATGACATATAAAGATAAACGTATACCAAAGCTCAAAGCGCTACCAAAAAAATTAAAGATTTTGCCAAATTAAAAGGGATTGGAGGCAGGAATCTGAAAAAGAAAACTTTCTTAATTCCTATGCAATAAAACCCACACAGCAAAGTTTGAGATAGCCAGATTGTATAATCCTCGAGTTATGCTTAAGAAATGAAGTAATAAAATCTATATTTAACGATGGGAATAGGGAATGGCAACAGATATCGATAAATGCCTTGCTCTTATGGCTTAAAGGAATATTTATTTCAAGTCTCTAACAAAACAAATATATATCTATATGTTTTAGGAGCTGCTTCCATCAGAAACATCAAACCCCTTTTTAGGCATTTTGCCTTGGCTTCAGGGTATGGATATGACTAAACTGGCGACTGGCGTCGCATTGTCGCCAATTGTAGTCGAAGATTTTGTTAAATTGAAATGTGCAACTGTGAAATGTCAGGCGACAATTGTCAACTAGATGGATGCGACATTTCACATACGCCCGCCCCCCTTCGCCAGGCCCTCCCCAACCCACCTCGCCTCAACCAGAAGAGCGCACAGTGCAGAGCGCAGATTGAATCTTGAGTCGTGCAGTTTATTAACCTGCAGCTCGCATGAATCATGCATTTGGGCAACTGGCGCAGCTTGTGGAACCAGTAGCCGAGGCGTATAAGAAGAAGAAGAAAAGCAAGGGCTAGCAGAAGCGTCAAGTCTCATACACTTGGCAATTGGAAAGCCAAACGGCCGAGCTGCTGCCACTTGTTCGTGCAACACCTTTCTAAAAGTTGAAGACTTTTTTACATTTTTCTTTAAATGCCACACTTATTCAATCTGCTGGAAGTCGGAGATTGTCCTCAAAGAGAGTACAGAAAATGGGCTAAAGAATGTTTATATTATTTAAGATACAAAAACAATAAAGAGTTCTTTAATTGGGCGTGTTCGACTGGACGATACACTGCAGCTAGCGCCTAGTTGCCGCCTTTGCTTCTTCTTCTTTATATCCCAAACTATTTATGGGAAATGCTTTCTTGATTAACTCGAGTGCTGTTAGTCCGATTTTTCTTAAATTTACGGCGCTTAAATTTGGCTTACAAAAGTGTGTACATACCAAAGCGCAAGGCTCTATCTTCAAGAAGGTGTTTTTTTGAAATGTTGAAAGATATATGAAAAGTGAATTATTTTTTAACATTATATACCATAGTAAAACCTACACACCAAATTTCGTGCATTTTGCTCTTATAATCTTCGAGTTATGCTTAAATAACCAAGTCTCAAAATCGATATTTATCGATATTTATCGATATTATGAAAATAAGAGGAGCAAATATCTTAAGCTTGTTCCGCGTATTCTTTAGGGCAATTGCTTGTATAATTCGCATAATTCTTAAGCCCAACTACAGCCTTTTCTCAACTACCCTAACTAGTCTTTGACTATTAAACTATTGGCAGACTTGTAGTTAGTCCAAAGCCCACTTTATTCCATGTGGCTGCGTTTTTCACAGATCAACGCCAACGCCGAATGCCTTTTGCCTTTTGTGAAATTGTGTCTGGCCCGCATTTCTTGGCGCGCAAACGAAATCCAATTCCCAGACCCAATCCCATATCCATGCCCATTCCCATTTCCACAACCGATGTGCAACCACAACAACAACAACAACAACAACAAGAGCAAGATGTAGAAGAAGAAGAACATAATGACTAGCTGGTCGGTAAAAACAATTTGATCAGCCGCTGCCGAGTTCCGCACGCTCCGTGGAGCTCCCCTCATTTTGTTGGCGTGTGTGGGACATGCGCTAAAATTTTATTTGATTTGACACTTAACAGTGGCTGTTAGCGCGATTTGTGTGTGTGTGTTAGTGTGTGTTGGTGTGTGTGTTGGTGTGCGACTTATTAAGGACTTCCTGTTTGGCCGTCAGCATCTTTTGTCGCGACAACAGATTAATTTAACGCACTGCAGTTCAATTTAGACGCCATTTGGTACAGTTTTCTTTTTCTTGTTGTTATTGCAATTTTTCTTTTTGTTGTTTTTTTTAAATTTTTTATTTCAATAGAATTTCAATTGTTTTATGTCTGCCTTCTAAAGTACACAATAATCAGTTTAATAATAATAATAATATAAATTAATTAGTGCTTAGTTTCAATTGCCTGCTGCGCTTAAGTATCGTTATCGTTATCGTTATCGTAATCGTTATCGAAACAGAGTACGTTCTTTTATGTATATGAGAAATACCCCTGCAGGAGTCATAAGACATTTAATTACATTTTAATGAGAATCATTTTAATAGCGCATCAAAATAAACTTGAAATTCTCAGAAAATGTTCTCTTAATAAAAGCTAAAAAGTTTATTTGGCCCCCTTTCATTGATTTTTAGAAAAAACAATATGAAATATTGTTTAATAGATTGTAAAGAATGCTGGATTTAAGTTCAGATTGGAAGTAATATTTAATCTAAGCTTTGGAATATCGCCAAGAAATATCGTCTTGAAAGAATACTCGAGAATATCCATTCCACATATTCCGCGAAATCCACGCAATTGTGCGGAATATATGGAAAATAAGAATCGAATGTGTTAAAACAGGCGATGCCTAGAGACCTTTGCTTAATAATTTAAACTTTTGTTTGAAATGCATTTTGGTAACTTTGTTAAATATATTACAATAGATAGATAGCATATTTCATAAGGAAACAAAAAATTTTACTTTTGACTAAAGGAAAACAGAGATTTTAACTTGAATAGATTTCTAGGATTTAAATATTAGTTTTAAATTTCAACAATGGGAATATAATTATGGGAATATAAGAATATAAACAAAGTTTATTGTTTTCAAAAACAAGAAGGTTTCCAAGAATTTCGCTCAGTGTAAAACTAAGCTGAATTTAGATAACGTTTTTTTTAGATGCCTGCTCTACAACTTTTTTTCAGATAATTTTCAAATACTATTCCGATACCTCAACTCTTTCCATTTAGAGCTCTCCTAAGTATTTGAGCTTCTGCAAGGGTATTTCATGGGGGTTATGCTAAGTCTCTGCTGCGCTGCAAGGGTATTTAAGCTTCGGCTAGCCGAAGTCGCTGCTCTGCCTCTCTATTTACAAGCGTCTAGCGCCTCAGTCGCGGCTGTTTTCTATATACAACGAATACTTTATACACTGCCAACCGCGCGCTTCAGCTGTTGCGGCTGACAACTGTGACGGGCTTCAGCTGCGGACCCGGCGAACGGGCGCTGGCCTCCCCGTGCCCCTGCTGCCCCTGCTGCCCCTGCTGCTGTAGATTAGGCGAGGAGGGCGGCTGGCCAAGATGCGTCATGTGCGGCTGCGGCGCCGGCGCCGTGGGCAACGCCGCGCTCAGCTGCCTCTGATGCGCCGCCAGCGCAGCGGCAGCGGCATGCTGATGCAGCAGCTGCTGATACTGCAGCCGTTGATACAGCTCCTGGCTGCTGGCGGGGCTGACGAACGGCGGCGGCGGCGGTGGGGGGCCCGGCACTGGGCAGCCGGGCAGCAGGCCCGCCGCCGCAGCCGGACTCTTGGGCGCAAACGGATTGTAGCGCTGATACATGCTGGCCAGCAGGCTGGGCGCCGCCTGGGGATAGGTGAGGAACTGTCCGAATTGCGGATATGCCGCCAGGCCGGGAAACATCGGTCCGATGAGGGAGCGCTTGAAGGCAGCCAGGCGGGAACGGCTGGCGGCGGTGGTGCGACGTCGCAGCTTGCCGGTGGAGCCGCCAATGAAGACATCCTCCGCGGATGGATCCAGCATCCAGTAGTTGCCCTTGCCGGGATCATCGTAGTGTCGCGGCACCTTCACAAAGCACTTGTTCAGGCTGAGATTGTGCCGGATGGAGTTCTGCCAGCCCTGCTTGTTGTCCCGATAATACGGATGATTGGTCATGATGTACTCGTAGATGCCATTCAGTGTCAGCCGTTTCTCCTGGCTCTGCCGGATGGCCATCATGATGAGCGCATTGTAGCTATACGGCGGCTTCTCGTTGCCCTTCTTATCCTTGATGGGTTTGCCGTCCGTTGATTTCGTCTCCGAATCGTTATCACATTCCACATCCTCATCGGCATCGCCATCTCCATCCGCCTCTGCATCTACATCTGCATCTGCATCTGCATCCGCATCCGCATCTTCATCATCTGGTTCGTCGTCGGCGGCGGGCGGCGCTGGCGACATGGAGGTCACATCCAAATCCGATTCCACGTCGCTGTCCGGCTCCGAGCCCAGCGGTGAGCTATTGTTATTGTTGTTGTTGTTGTTGTTGTTGTTAAACTTTTGTGCCGCCTGCTGTTGGTCCTCCTGCGCCCGCTGCTCATCCTGCTCCACCGTCTCCGGCAATATGGCATTTATCGAGAAACTGGACTTCAGATGCGGCGTTCGCGCCATTTTCATGAGCAGCGTGGCCGGCGTCAGATTCAGATTCAGATTCAATGCGCCGACGGCACTCAGATGCGGATGCGGATGCGGATGTGGATGCGGATGCGTGTGTGGCTGCGGATGGTGTGTGTGCGGCGCGTGATTGTGTGGATGATGATGATGTGCGTTGATCTCGTCAACGATTTTCACCATTTTGCACTGTCAATTGTTGCAGAATATTGTTTTGTTTTTTTTTTTGTTTTGGTTTGTTTTTGCTAAAGCTGCATTTTAATATATTTTTATATGTAATTACATTTATATCACAGCGCAGCAAATTGATTGAATGCCGCCCACACGCGTATTCAAATTGGGCACGTTTACGTTTTTGCCATTCGCCGTTGGCCGTTTACCGTTGCACGTTTCTACCGTTGCTCGTGTTCACACGTCCGCTGCGCTGTGGCGTTTTGTGTAGACTAACAAGAATTCCAAAAAACTCTCAATCCAGTTGCTGTGCCTCGCGGCCTTTTGCTGCGAGCACCGCCACAGCCAATGGCAGCTGTGGATTGTGTTTGCCATAGCACTCACCCTCTCTTGCTCGCTCGCTCGCCCACACGCTCAGCATAGGGCAGGCAGCGCGCTCGCTCACACACGCGCTCTTTGCTGGCGTGCGCATGTGTGTGTGTGTGTGTGTGTGTACAGATTTTGAACATTCGCGCTGCTAATTGCTGCTGACACGACACGAACACGCCGGCGACGACGCCGACGCCGACTGGCCTTTGTTTTTGGCTTTTATCGTTTAGTTAGTATGCGTGTGTGTGTGTGTGTGTGTGTTTGTGTGTGGAGAGTTGCTTGGGGAAGGGGCCGCGTTGTGGGTTGCATTTTGATACGCCAGGTTTTTCGTTTATTCTGCTCTTTTTGCAGCAGCTGCCGCATTTGTAACTGTTTCTAACTGTTGTTCTTGTTGTTGTTCTTGTTAAGGTTGCTTTTAATGGTTTTCTTGTTTTCACACACACACACACACACACGCACATGCACACATGCTTTTGTTTCGGTTTCGGTTTTGCCCCCTTTCAGAACTCGCAGCGTTTAATAACTATGTGCGAATGTTTTATATAATGTTTATAAAACAGCACTGAAAACAAACACAATGCAAGGAACAGCTGCTGGATTCGAGGAAGAGCCCATTTTAGATCCTAAATTTAACTTTAACTTGCGAGCGATTTTCGTAGCGTAACTAAAAGCTTAACTAAACAAACAAAATTAAGCCTTGATTCGAATTTGCAAAGAAGCTGCCAGAAATCTTAAAACAATTAACAATTGGCGATTTGTTATAAATAAAATAAGATTTTTTCTCTGTGAATAATAACAAAATAAAGCTTTAGCTATGCAAACTAAACGTTGCTGTCAAATTTGAACCAGCGACTTGCCGCTCGCTGGTTCGACGCTCAAACAGCAAAAGCTCTCACTGTGCATATAAGACACATTCGGATAAATTAATTGATTATACGATCTTCGGCTAATTAACCAACGATATTTTGTGAATAATAATAGTTGAATAATTAAAGTCTTCTCTTCGTTTTATAATTCATCTCTGATTAACTCTCAGAGTCTTTTAGTCGATTTGAGCCCTTAATTTGGCCCCATTAAAATCCAATTAGCCTTAATGCCTGCTGCCAAACTGTTTAAGCATACAAAAGTCACTTTTAACATTTACAATTCAAGCATTTTAGCTGCAAATGCAATTCGATGCAATTTGCTGCAATCGTGTGTGTTTCGTGGAATCTTTGAGAAGGCAGCAGCAGCTGTTGCCATTCGCAAGCCGGAACATATGTCCCAATCATTTTGTAATCATAATAATTGTTTTCGCTCTTTGGGAGGGGGCGTGAACTCAGCTGTGCCCGTGTGCGCCCGTGTGTGTGTGTGTGTGTGTGTGTGGAACATAAAAGGAGGACAACGCGCTCTGATTGGAGCCAAGAGCTGCCAAGGTGTAACATGTTTTACCTGGGCTCAAAAATAAACCAAAAGAAAACTAAAATAAAAATGCAACAAAAACAACAGCAAAAAAAACTACGTAAATAAATACGTCAGACGCCATGTTGGCCAATTGTTGTAGTGTGTGGATTGTAGCTGTTCTTCTTCTGCTTCTTCTTCTTCTTGTTAAGCAGCCCGCAACGGAATGCGGTCTGCTTGCATGTGTGCGTGCGTGCGTGTGTGTGTGTGTGCATGGCCAAAACTTATTGGACGTTCGCCTTGCGTGTAGAGTGGAGACATGCGCGCAAAAGCTCCACTCACTCACGCTCGCTCGCTCTCGCTCTCGCTCTCTCTCTCCCACTCGCGCGTGCACATATAAGCTTAATGGGGGCCCGCAGGTCAAAACAAAATGGCGCACACAACGGCATTTTAATTGCTGGCTTCACTTTGTTTCGCGTTTTTCAATTGAGTGTGTGTGTGTGTGTGTTTTGAATTATTTTTGTTATTCATTGTTTTGGTTAGCTGCTTGCAACAGTTTCCCGCCTTCCCTGATGCCCGCCACGCAAAGCGGAAAGGGAGTATATTGGCTTTTGTAGCTATATAAAACTACGAGCGGATATACCCCGGCCCTGCCCGTGGTAAGTACATAATAAATTCTCTCAAAAATGTTCGAAAATGACGTTTGAAACCGAAGCAAAACGTTTTCCGCCAATTTACCACTGTTGCGGGTGAAATCCCCAAGCACACGTATTCATTAAGTTCTTAAGTACAGCTTTGAAAATAAGTTTGAAACTTTCCACCAAGATAATTTGGATTCTGAGTAAAAGTGCGAAACACGTCTCAAATGATTTTACGTATAGATCTTTGGAAATCAATTCAAACACGAAAAGTCACCCACCAAATCTTTGACACCCATTTCCAAGGGAGAAACGCATTTTTCGAAAAGTGTAGAATACTTCTCAAATTAATTTGAGCAACGATCTTTGAGAATAAGTTTGAAAGCGATCGAACGGTAAACAAAGAGGGTTCAGATAAACGATTTTCGCGATTTTTCCACACATGCGGGTGGAATTTAACGAAACCAGATCGAGTCAAGCTAATTGCAAAGAAAATCTTTAATCCTTTGCGGGTCAGCAAAGGAATAGTCGAATAGACTAAAGAATCTCTTTCAGCTGATGTGAGAACTTTTTCTGTTCCTCATTTTGTTTACATTTCCCCAGACGTCAGTTGGTTGAAGTTTAGCAGTTCCTATGTTTTGTTTTTTTTTTTTTATGTTTAACGAAATTCCTGTGAAAGTTTTCGAGATGTCCATGGCCAATTCTCTGACGTTCCTGCTGCTGATTGTCAACATAATGCTCGTAGGTCCTCCGATCCAGATATATCAATTTATAACACGACGGCTTAGTTGCAGCTGATATTGCCGTACAGAACGGAGGCTGCGGCGATGCGTAAGGCTCGCACGTTGCGAAAACCAAAGGAGCCCTTGGGGAACGAGGCATGGGACAAGTCGACGCATAGTCTGAATATGTATCCACGCAGGATGCGTGCCAAGCAGAGGACTGCCTTTTGGGCGAGGGCCCAGGCCGCTGCAGCAGCTGAAGCAGCAGGAGGAGCAGCTGGAGCAGCAGGAGAGGCAGCTGGAGCACCAGGAGAGGAAGCTGGAGCAGCAGGAGGATCAGCTGGAGCAGCAGCTGGAGCAGCAGCTGGAGCAGCAGCTGGAGCAGCAGCTGGAGCAGCAGCTGGAGCAGCTGGAGCAGCAGGAGGAGCAGCTGGAGCACCAGGAGGAGCACCAGGAGGAGCAGCAGGAGGAGCAGCTGGAGCAGCAGCTGGAGCAGCTGGAGCAGCAGGAGGAGCAGCTGGAGCAGCAGGAGGACCAGCTGGAGCAGCAGGAGGAGCAGCTGGAGCAGCAGCTGGAGCAGCTGGAGCAGCAGCAGGAGGAGCAGCAGGAGCAGCAGGAGGAGCAGCTGGAGCAGCAGGAGGAACAGCTGGAGCAGCAGGAGGAGCAGCTGGAGCAGCAGCTGGAGCAGCAGGAGGAGCAGCAGCTGGAGCAGCAGGAGGAGCAGCAGGAGGAGCAGCAGGAGGAGCAGCTGGAGCAGCAGCTGGAGCAGCAGGAGGAGCAGCTGGAGCAGCAGGAGGAACAGCTGGAGCAGCTGGAGCAGCAGGAGCAGGAGGAGCAGCTGGAGCAGCAGCTGGAGCAGCAGGAGGAGCAGCTGGAGCAGCAGGAGGAGCAGCAGGAGGAGCAGCTGGAGCAGCTGGAGCAGCAGGAGGAGCAGTTGGAGCAGCTGGAGCAACTGGAGCAGCAGGAGGAACAGCTGGAGCAGCTGGAGCAGCAGCTGGAGCAGCAGCTGGAGCAGCTGGAGCAGCAGAAGCAGGAGGAGCAGGAGGAGGAGCAGCTGGAGCAGCAGGAGGAGCAGCAGGAGAGGAAGCTACCGCGGCCACTAAAGACACAAAAAACGCAAAAGGTACCGATATAACACACAAGGAACTAACTGTGTCCATACCACGATTCGTTAAAAACGACAAAGGCGACTGGGTGGTCACCCTTTGGGGCATTACCTGGGGCAAAGCTTACCACGATACTCGATTTAACATGAACCACCGTTTCACAATTCTACGGCAACAGATAGAGAAGAATATGGTTACAGATTATTATCCAAGGTACGTTCATTTCCCGTTCATGCCCGAGTTTCAAGTCGAATCATTCAGTTCTCATTCATCCAGCTTTACGAGCCTGAGCACCGTCTGTGTTGGACGCAGCACAATCTACAATTTGCCCAAGGTCGTCGACTACCTTCAGAGATTGGTCTACACCGATGTGCACCAACATCGGCCCGTTTGGACAGCGCTCAGGCGACAGATGTTTCTGCAGGGCAACAGCGATGAGTGCCATTTGCCAGATATGATCAGATGGCATGACTATATGGATTGTGCCCTGCGGCGCAATCAGAGAATGGAGTACCTAATTCCAAAGTATCCGCTGCATCAAGTTGGCGTCAAACAAGCTACCACCGAGGCAATCAGGCGCCGTTCTTAGACAGACCAGAAATGCATCTCAATATGTGTTATGCTTATGCTTATTTCCTTGACTACAGTGAGCATTCGATATGCGCGCCTACCACAATGTAATCTTATCTAATAACAAAACGTTCTTATTCAAAAAAAACTGGGCTCTACTGTTGTACGTTTTGGTTTAAGATATGGTGAATATATTGAAAGCTTCTTCTATGCTTTAGCCCAAAACCCTGTACGGGAAATGCGTGCCCAATTAACTCGGTTGTAAAGCGTTCTCTAGTAACTCTGGTATTCAAAGACCGATCTGGTTGAAGATTTCAGGGCTTAAATATGACACATTAAAGTGTGTACATACCAAAGCGCAAGGCTCTACCTTTAAAATTGAGTTCCATACCCATTTTAGGGAAAACTGGGGAAGGTATTCGAAAAGTGAACTATTCCCAATCTGTATTTATCTCAAGAGAACCTACATATCAAGTTTGAAGCACATCGATCGTCTAGTCCTCGAGCTTTGCGCTAAAAGGGAAGTCTCCTAATCGATATTTATCGCTATTAGCGAAGAAAGTATCGATAAATCGATAGTATCGATAAACTAGTTCTGATATATATTTCAAGAGTCATGCCGCCAGCTTTGTAGTTTCCGAAATAGTTGAATTCACATATCCTTAACAGGCTAGCTCGAGGGAAAAAAACAGGAAGCCGTATTTAAACGACAAACAAAGCATCGAATTTTCATTGACAAAAACTGTGGAAATGCAAACAATTTGCTTGTAAAACGCGGCTACCGCACATCAAATACGCTAAATCAATACAACGGATTATAGAGTATTCGAGAATCGGGCAACGGGCAACGGGCAAGAGTTTTTCCAGGGGGCGAGAGCACTTTACTAATCAGCCAGATTTATAGCTGGCATTTAGTTTTGTTAGTTTTGCGTATAGACAGTCGACATGCATTTGATATATATGCCCAAAAGGGCCAAATAAATCCTTGGGCATCTCTCAACCCGTTCGCTCGGGCCCGCCTTTGCGCGCCGATCGCGATGTCCTTCCGGGTAGACATCGGCCCGGTTTATTTTGATAGACTCAATGGCAGTTTAACCGCAGGATTAGCTTGTTTGTCCGGCGGATCAACGCGTTCGGCATGCAAACAGACCGGCGGCTACCTGGGCGCGGGCGTGCCCCGACTACCTGGCTTAAATGTCATATATACATAGATATGGGCTGGCTGGCGGGTAACGGGTTAAGCAGGACATCGGCTTCCGTTTGTCTTGTTTACATTGTCTGTTTACATGGCAGGCAGAAGGACCCAGGACTCGAGTCGCGCACAGTAGCCACACACACACACACACACACACACACACACACACACACACACACACACAATTGAGCTACAAATTGGTCTTACCTACGCCCAGGACTCGAAAAGAGTTAAGCAAGGATTAGATATTCCTTGGACTTAACGGACTTAGCTTAGCGCGTATTAATCTGATGTTCGTGAAACTTGCGACTATTTTTCAGCCTAATCGCCGTCGCTTAGCCATCCAAATATTTTCCAACATCAGCGCGCGGGATTTGTCTCGATTAAGGCCAGCCAGCCAGACAGCCAGAAAGGGTTAAGGTACGAAAGGGTTAAGGTACGAACGGGTTAAATGAAAACCCTTGCCCTGACATCTGATTTCGTTTAAGGCGCAGCAAAGTCCATTTAACCATATACCCTGTTTTTTTTTTTTTTTGCTTTGTCTAGCGTGTGGGGCAGGGGGCGGTGGTTGGCCAACAAATTGGCCAAATTTTGTTGAAATCACGCACAGCAGCTTTTCCGGTCTATGGAGTCCTTTCGCAGGACAGTGGACAGTTGTGGACATACCCCCTCTCCCTTCACCCCTACCCCGCCCTCACTCTCTATGGCACTTGTTATTGTTGTTATTATCGTGCGCTTCGTTTTGCAAATAAACAGCCAAACGAGTGTGCTACAAGTGTGCCAGAGCAGAGGGGTGGGTGTGGTGAGCGGAGGGGGGGCCAGGGGCAGGAGCAGGGGCAGCGCCTGAAGGGGGAGTTTCGGTGGGAAACAGCGTATGGTTAACGACGGGTGGTTAACAACAGCAGCAGGAAGTGAGCTTGGAAGGTAAACTCTGACCGGCTGCTGAATACCCTACAAAAATTAAGCTAACAATATGCTTTACTCGGGCTGATGTGTAGAGTATTAATTATTGATAATTGATATTTAATATAATATTATGATTCGCGTGAAACTAAGTTATCTTAGTTATTTTTATTATTATTATTATTTTTATTTTTATTATTATTATTATTATTATTATTATTATTATTATTATTATTATTATTATTATTAATTTTATAATTTTTTTATTATTTTATTGTAATTATAATTATTTTTATTAAATTATTCCTTTTATTATTTATTTATGTCAAATGTTGATGTTATGAGAATTGCATAGAGAGGTGCAATTTATTATTGCCATTGATTTCAAATCGAATCAAATCGCAAATACTATTATTGTCAATTATTTTTACAAATCTTGACGCTATGAGAATTGCATAGAGAGGTGCTTTTATCAAAAATATACTCAAATCGCACTAGACATCATTAACTTTATGGAAAGTATCTTCAGTTTCTTACAATTTAAATAACACTTACTACAATTTGGCATCGGCTAAGACAATGCTTGTTGCTTTATGCCTCATTTCCAGACATTAAGAGACTTTCGCCTCAGAAATATTATAAAATAATAAAACTGCTGTGTTGCCCAACCCAACCCAACCCGACCCAACCCTCTAGCCAACCGGCACTAGCCCGCGCTCAGAGCAATGTTAGCACCCTTTTGGGCTAACACTTGATAATTGTTGACAATGTGTTATAAACTGATTTACACGCATTTAACGAAAAGAAACACTGCCAAAACTCACGCAGCGCCAACACCAACAGAAGCAACAGCAACAACAATGTGGAGAAGGTCGTTAGCGTCGACGGGCAACCGCTTAGATGTCATCGTTAGCTGATGTTGCTGCTGCCAAAGGGAGATCGGAATGGAAATGGAAGTGGAAATGGCAATGGAAACGGACAAGGACAGGGACAGGGGCAGGGGCAGCTGGTCGCGTGTGCCACGCGAGGGTGGCAACTTAAAGGGGCAAGCATGATTTGTGTGCCGTGCCGTGCCGTGCCGTGCTGTGGTCTGCTCGGGTGTTGTTTGTGTGTTAATGAACTGCGTAACAATTAACAGCAACAACGAGCACAAATAAAGCGCAACAAGAACACCCAGAAGGGCCCTGCTGCTGCGGCTCAGCTTAAAAGTCAGTGGCCACGCACACGATTCCCATTCCCATTCCGATTCCCATTCCAAATCCCACTCCGTTTCCACAACTCACAAACTGAGAAGCTGCTGTTGCTGCGGGTTCATTTGCGGATTTATTGCTGCATAATCGAACAGAACCAAAAAAAAAAAAAGCAAGCTCTAGCCTGGACAATGCTCGACGGGCAGATACCCCGTGCAATGTTCCCAATTTGGCTATTTTCTAGCTACAATCAGGCTATTTGCAGATACATCCTTATTTTATAGCCAAAATGTAGCTTTTTTCTGAAATTATCTATCTATCTTTTTAAACCTATTAAGCATTTGTATTAACTAGTTGCGCTTGGAGCGCCTTTATAGCTATACTTTATAGCTAAAAAAAAACTCTATTTTGAAAAATATAAAATATATTCCTAAACAAATTTCGGGTGTGTTGTCAGATTACAAATATGTATACTTTAGTTTTGTGAAAGTCGGAGGAGGTTTCCAAATAATCTTGAAAATAATCTTGTACTCTTCGAAAAGCTTTCATGTTTCGATAAATTTTAAACAAATTATTCTCAGAGACAATCAAATATGATTTCGACTTGGCATAGATACAGAATAAATAAATAAATTCAGAGTGGAAACAGAATAGTTAGGCAAGCTTCTGGCTGTTGCACAACTGCACAATATGCCCGCTTTTAAGCAATTATAAAGGCTACAGGGTATAAGAATAGAGAAAGTGAAAGAACTTACCCTGGCTTGGTTGATTATGCTGGTGCCGTTTGGTCACTTGGTTCCACTGGCCGCTGATCCAAATCAATTTAATTGAGGTCCCAGCATGATGGACCCTTTGGCCCGTCCGTAATTTGTTCAATGTGTTGGCAGTCAATGGTTGCGCCTTGCCGAGTGCCCACTGTATCAGGTGAAATCTGTCCAATGACATGGGCTCTAAACGCAAGACCTGCAAAGAAAGTTGGGGGTTAGCAAGTGCAATTGAAAGGATGCCGGGGCAAGTAGACAAAAGCAATTAGAAGAAGTTTGACTAAGTTTGATTCAAGTTAAATGTTAAGCTTAGTTAAATGAATAGAGATTTCTAGCTTAAATTAATATCTTATTGTTGATTTAATCAGATTATTTAAATATAATTTATATATATATTGTGATTTTTTAGTGACACGAAAGTTTTTGCTAATTCCACGCCGAAGTGTGGAAAATGCACGGAAAGTGCCCGCATACAACTTTTGTTATTTCCCAAAAGTATTTCGTATTTAGTTTCAATTAATAATAATAAAAACCTTTATGGCATTTCTTATTATTAAGATGTTTTTGTTTATTTCCACGTGCAGGTGTGGAAAATTCACGGAAATTGGCAGCAGAAACCTTATCTTAACTTCCAAAAGTATTTTGTATTTAGCTTCTATTAATAACAAGCTCTTTATGGCACTTATAAGTAATTGCGAAGTTTTTGTTAATTCCACGTGCACGTGTGGAAAATTCACGAAAAGCTGCTGCAAGAAACATCCCTAATTTATCATTCGAACAAGTGCAAGCATATTTTCAAGAATCTTTCTAGTTTCTACGACATTTCTCACAGCACGGAAAGTAAATGCTTAAGACTTGCAGCTAAGACTGGACCCGAGCAAAGCCGGGCTATGCTCGCTATTAATTGTAGGGCATTTACTCGTTTTTATGTTTAACTAAAGCCTTGCCTCATGTTAATGCTTCACCCGGCTCGTACTACCTATAGCACGATTTATGGAACTACTCGCACAAGGCTATGGATGTTAGTCACATGACAATTTATTGTCATTTATCGTTGATTTATGTCTTCGGCGATGGCTGCC